TTAAAAATCTAAATAAATAATTTATAAAGCGAAAATATAAAATTAAAAGATTAATTAGATATATAATAATAGGAACATTTAAGTGAAATTCTATATTTAAAAACTAATATGACAAATTCATTTTTTGAACTTGATTAGGGTGAGGAAAATAAAAATTAGAATATAAACAGAGAAAGGGAAAATTAACTTTTAAACAGAATAAAAGAATTAGAAGGGAATATTATTTATTTAAGTAAATGTTCTTAGATTAATAATTTTTATATAGAAAAAAAAAATGAGGAGGGTATAGTTTAATCATTAAATATAATTTTATAAAACAAATAAATTGAAAATATTTAGTTGGAAACGAAAGTGGAAAAATTGTAAAAAATAGTTGAAAATATAGGAAATAAAGAGGATGCTTTAAAAGAAAAAATAATAAATTAATTATTTGAGTCTGAGAGTGAAAGCGAAAACGAAGAAGATTAAAATAAAGTTTTAAAAAAAGAAGAAAAAAGATAAATATTAAATGATATGGATAAAGAATAATTATTAATTAAAAATAATATTTATTTAAAGAATAAAATTTAAAAATTAGAGTAAGAAATTGAAGATTGGAAAGTAAAATTTTGGAATTAAGAAAAAAAAAGAAATAATTAATTTATATTTTTAGAAGATAATTAATCAGAAGATTTATAATAAAAATTAGAAGAAATTTAAATCTCGACATAAAAATCAACAAAATAAATAGATAATAATATATAAAAGTTACTATAAAATATTAAAACTATACATATTTAAAAAAAAACATCAAAGTCTTTAAATGTAAATATAAAAACACCAATGTAAACTTACAAAGTAAACGATAAATTTATTAAATAATAATACTGAAATAAAAAATATTTAATATTTAAAAAAAAAAAGATTAAAAATTAAAATATTGTATATATATATATAAAATTAAAAAATAAACTAATAAAAAAAATAAAAAATATATATATATATATATTATATATATATATAAATATTATAAATATTATAAATATATATTTAATTCTTTAATTAAAATATATTTTTTTATTTTTATTTAACATAATAATTAAGAATATTAAAAATCATAATTTTCTTTTATAAAATAAAATTTTTAAAAATAAAAAATAAAAATTTTAACAATTAATTAAAAATCATTAAAAATTCTTTAAATTTTATGTATAATTGGGAAAAACATGAATAGACTATTGACTTTTTTTATTTTAATATACCTAAAAAGCCTATATAATAAAAAAAGCATATTTTAGTTCCTAAAAACCTTTCTGAATATAAATTACCTTATTAAATTAACCGAACATAAAAATAATCTAGAAGTTCTATTTTTGATGAAAACTAATTATCATAATAGTAAGATAAGAGAAATTCTATATATAAATATAAAAATTCTTCTTAAATAAAATTTTGTATAGAAAATACAATAAATAATGATAAAATAATGTCTTGTAAAAAATAATTAAATTCAAGTTTATTTAATAAAAGTAGTGTGGAATTTACACATAATAATACTTTGAAAAATGAAGAATCTTTTAAAAAAAATCACCAGGAGAAGCGACATGTTAAGCTTTTATAAAAAATTGAAAAACCTGTCAAAAAAGAGTCACTTTTTAAACATAAAGATCATAATGTTGAAGATCTATTTGGGTCAGATTATGTAGAACCAGTTAAAAAACCTACTAAAAGTCAATTTTAACCTAATTATTAGAATTTTAATCCATTAGAAATGAAAATGAAGTTTATTTATGGACATGAATTTGTTTACAAACCCCCTTTGCCTTAAAAAAAGGATAAGAGTTTTTCGAATATTGAATAAAATATTAACTTTAATAAACAAAAAAGCTAACTTACTCCTCCTCCAAAAGTACCTGCTCATTATATTGAGAATAAAGATAATATTTAAGAGAAAAATAATGTATAAATATAAATAATGGAATAAAAAAAAAATGATTTTAATGAAAAAAATAAATAAGATGATGAATTGTAAAAGTTAAAAATATTAAAAAATGTATTTAATTTAGATAAGAGTAATATTAAAGAAAGAAAAGAAAATAATTCATTTATAGAAAAAAAGGAGAATTTTAATAAAGAGAAGTTTTTTCTTTAAAAAAATAAAAAAATGAATTAAATTAATCATCTTTATTAAGTTAAAGTTTTTCTTAATGTTAGTAAAAAAATGAGATTATATAAATATAATTTATAAAATAAAATAAATAATTATTAAATGATAATGAAATTAAATAATTTTGTTCTAAAAAAGGAATTCATTTAATTGATTTGGGAAATAAAATAAATTAATAAAAATAATGTTTTGTAAAAATAAGATCAAATTAAAATAATTAATTATAAATTGAAAATTCAAAAGATTTTTTAAGAAAAAAGGGATTAGTTATAAAAGAATGAAAAAAAAAAAAAATATGTAAATAAATAAATAAATATATTAAATATATATATAAATAAATAGGTTAATATATATATATATATATATATATATATATATATATATATATATATTATATAATTTGTTTAATTATTTGTTTTTTTAAAAAGTATTTTCATTTTCAAAATTAATTTATAGTATCTACGAATTTTTACTTTTCAAAAGTCATAAGATTTTCATAATTAATTTAATTTCTACAAAAAGGACATTAATATTTTAAATCAATCCATACGTTTATACATTCGGAATGAAATAAATGATTACAAAAAAGTTTTCGTACGCTTTCTCCTTGTTAAATTTCCATTAGACATATAGAACATTCCTAAAAACTTTAATTTTCTTCATATATATAATTAGGTATTGCTTATTATATTCTTTCTTTAAATTAATAATCTTATTCTATTTTTCTATTTTTTATTAATTAATCTTATTAGTATTATTATACTTTTGCTCTATATATAAAAACTCCAGATACTATTATTATTATTAAACATGATATTGAAGTTATTATTGCAATAAATATATATTTTAAAGCTTATTATTTATCTTAATATAATTAATATTATTATACTTCAGTATCAGTTATTATTTATAAAAAGTTTTCTTTTTCATCAAATTAAGAATTATAGATTTATATTATTATAAATGTATAGTTTTCTAGTTTAGAAATTTGTTATTTTTGAAGCTTTTATAAATCTTCGTAATATTTTAAATTACTTAATTTCAATTATTCATTCGAATTGATTATTTCGAATATAAAATCATCTATTTCTGGTTAATTTGTATTAAAATATTAATATCTAAGTTTAAAATAATGATTTTTATTTGAATTTATTTCAATCGAAAGTTCCTCGCATTATTAAAGTTAGTTAAAAACGAAATAATTCCATTTATCTTTTTCAATTTTGATTTATTCGTTTTCACCAGTTTATAATTCTACTAATTTATTCTCACAATATTTTCCAAAAAAGTCACTTTTACATTCACATGTTGATAATTAATTCTACCCAAAAATAATACATTTCCCGTTTTAATTGCAATCATTGAAACATTCGTCTCTTTCTTTTAATTATATGTCTAAAGTGTATTTCTTTTAATTATTTTTATTTATAATCTTATGATTTAAAATCGTAAAATAATAATTCTATATATTCTTTATGGGAAGTATTATTCTTTATTTTTCACTAAAGTTTTCATATGAATATGTATCTGTATAGAAATAGCTTTAAGATTTTTTATTTATTTCCATATATTCGACTATTTATTTAGGTTTTAAATAGGTTTACGATACTATTAATTGCAAACCTTGGCTTTCATAGTTTTATGTATTTAAGATAATTTCCATATATAATGATTGTACTTCTTCATCGTTTAAAGAAATATGAAATTCTTCAAAAGATTAGTTTAAAGTTATGGTTTAGGGAGTAGATTTTTACTATTTTATTTCTTATAAAGAAGATTAGAGAGTTTAGTTTATTAATAGTGTTATGAATAATAATTATATAAACATTTTTGTTAATTTTAAATTATTTTTTTTATTTAAAAAAAAAAATAATAAATAAATTTTTAAATACTTTTGATATATTTTTTTTTATGTTTTTTTAAGATAATTTTATAATTTTGAAAGTATTTTTTTTTTTTTTTTTTCAGATATTTATAGATAAAATTATTATTTTATTTTTATTTTTTCAAATTTTTTTATATAAATTTGTTGTTATGAATAAAATTATATATTACGTACTTTTATTATAAAATATTATTTAAAACAATATTATATATAATAAAGGTTTATATTTTAACTATAAATAAGTTAGTTTAGTTTCTAACGAAAATTAATTAAAAAATACAAAAAATTAATTTTATATAGAATTAATATATAAATATTATTTAAAATTTTTTTTTATATTTTAATTTTATTATTATAATTTATTATGTTTTTTTGTAAAAAAAAAAAATATTTAATTAATTTAATAAAATTATAAATATTTTTTTTTTTTTTCAAATTATTAAAATAATAGTAGTATATCTAAAAATATCAAAATAAATAATTAAAAAAACAATTTTATTTTACAAATTAATTAAAATTACGAATTTTAGTTTTATCTATTTTTTATTTATTAAAATATTCCTGTAAAATTTTTAAAATAAATTTAATTATTTATTAAATATTAATATAAAATTATAAAAACAGGCTTTTTAAAATTAAATTTAAATTGATTTTATGTTCACAAATAAATTATTTTATGGAAAATGAAATTGATTTAAATCATTTCTTTATACAAAAAAAAAGAACCAATTAAATTACAATACTCTTATAAGATAATATAATAAACACAATATATTTTATATTATTACATATATTATTTAATAAAAATTAATAATTATCTATCGATATATAAAATTAAAAAAAGTGGTTCTTAATATAATTTATAAGAAATATTAAATTATAAAATAAATAAATATTTAATTATAAAATGGAATAAGTTAATTAACATATATAGTCAATGGATACTCCATTTATTAAATATCCATTAATAATATTAATTTTAGGATTGACAAGTATATTATTTTCATTAGTAATAATATTGACTTATTTCTTTAATGCAAGCGCATAGAATTTTTCTACTAAAATGATTACTAGTTTATGTATAAGTGATATTTTATTTACTTTAGGATTAATAAGTAATAATAACTTTATAAATTTGCAAAATACATTCATATGTAATTTAACAGCATTTTTGACTTCCTTTGGAAGTCTATCTTCCCTTTCATGGGGCTGTATAATAGCCTATTCAGTCTATGTAAATGTTTAGAATCCTGGAAATAAGGAAACAATAAAATATACGAAAAAAATGGTAAAAAAATAGTCTTTAAAATATGCATATTGTGTTCCGTTTATTATTTCGGTAATTCCTTTACTTTTTTAAGATTATTAAAATATTGGAGAAACATGTATTATAACATTAAAAAGTACATCAGGTTATATAGAAAATATAATATTGAATTTAATTCCTTTATTTTTAGAAATTTCTTTTATGTTTTATTATATTATTTAATCTTTAAAAATTTAAAATAAGGAATATGCGGTAGCTGGTAAATAATTATTAATTTATCCATTTATTTGTGTAGTAGCTTTTGGAAGCTATTTTAGTTAAAAATTATATGAAGTCATTTATCAAGTTAGTTGTGGATGTGATTATACATGGCATTAAATTAGTTTTATTTTGTGTGCACTTAATGGATTTTTAAATTCAATTTTTTATGGATTTAATTCTAGTATTGGAATTTAAATTATATAGTCTGTAAAAAAATTAATTATGAATTGTTGTTGTTGTTTATAGAATAATAGAAAAAAAAAAAAAATACTTTTATATGAAGAAAATAATGTTTAAAGTATGTAAAAATAAAATAATGATGGAAATATAATTTATAATTATATTACGACAAGAAATTAATCTTAAAATAAAATATAAATAAATAATTATAATGATAATATATATAATAATAATAATATTAATAATAATATTAATAATAATAATAAAAATAATAATAATAATAATTTTTCGAATGAATTTAATTAATATAAATTATCTAAAATTTTTAAATATTATATATTTATATTATTTTATTATACATAATTAAAATTCTTTTATTAAATATATAAATTTAAATTAGTTAATATCTAATAATTATTTTATATATAATAGTCATATATATATATTATAATAAAAATAAAATTATTTATACTTATTTGATTTATATAAATAATTATTAATATTTATAACTTAAGATATTTTTTTTATATTTTATTCTTTACAAATTTTATAATATATTTTTTTTTTTTATTTTTTATTATTAATTTTTTTTTTTATTATTATTATTTATATTTAATTATTAATATATTTCTCATTTTTAATTTTTCTTTTTTCTTTTTTTTTTTTTTTAACTTTTTTTTTTTACTTAATTTATATCATAATTTTTATTTTAGCATTATAGATATTTATTTTTATTATTTTAGCTGCCAAAATATGTTTTTATTAAAAATATTTAAAAAAATATGCAATTTTATTTCATCATCTAGAACATGTTTAAAATTAAGTTATATTATATATTTAAATAGTTAAATTTAAATGCAAAATTATATTCATTAAAAAAATATATATTTTATGATAAAAAATACAAATATATATAATTTAATAAATGAAATTAAAAAATCTTAAGCTTAGATTTTTATATTAAAATGAAGGTTCTATTTATATTTATATAAATATTTGAAAATCATTCTTTTATTAATATTTTTATTTTTAATTATTTATTAATTGTGATTTTTAATCTTATATAAAGATTTTAGTAAATATTTAATTATTTTTTTTACTTACTTTTTTATTATTATTAAGATATGTATATATATATATATAAAAAAATATATACATATTTATATAAATATATATAATATATTATTAATTAAGAAATAAGATATTTTTTTTAGTTTTTATTATGTTATATATTAATTAAATATTAATATTGTTTTTTATTTTTATAAAATCCTTTTTATTTGAATATAAACAAATTTTAAAATAAAAAATTTATTAAATCATAATATTTTCTTAATTTAAGTGAAACAATATATTTAATTATTTTTTAATAGAGTAATTAAAGAAATTGAATTAAAATTAATTGTAATTTTATACTTTATTTATATTTTTCACATAAAAAAAATAATATCATAATCATAAGTATTTAACATAATTAATATATTTAATTTTTTTTTTAAAATAATATATTATTTTCTTTAATTATATATAAATTAAATAAAAAAAAAAGAATAAAACGAAAAATTTAAAATACTATAATTTATATAATTTTTGAAAAAAATATAAATATAAACTAAAAAAATTAAAATTCAGATTAAAATATTATAAATAATAATATTACTTAAAATAAACACTAAAAAATTTCCATAAAGATCTAAATTAGGTACTATAAAATATATTAATGAAAATAAAATATACAAATATATTTAATATATTTATATATATAAATATATATTTTTATATATTTTTTTTTTTTAACTTTTCGGTACAAAGAATGTTTTTGCGTCAATAAGTTAAATTTAATCATCATTATTTAGATCAGGATATCCTGGATGTATGTTACCTATTACCATATATATATTATATTATGTATTTTCTTCAAGATTAATTATTGTTTAATTATATTTTTTATAAGGTATTTCGATTTCTAAATTGTTAGACGGTACAATATAATTTGTTTAATTATATCCCCAAAAGATCTATTAATTTTTAGGTTTACCTTTATCATAATTAGTTTTAGCTGCAGTCATGAAAACCCAGCCATAATTATTTAGAGAAATTTAAATCGTAACTTAATTTGTTTAAGTATCTACTATTGTAGGAGATTCTAAAAGAGAAACATTATAAAAAGTGAAATTTGATGAAGGAATTTAATAGTTTAAATCTAAATTATTTATTCTTTAGGAAAGATTGTTTATTTAATATTTTTTTAAGTATTCTATTATTTTTATAGGAGGGGGGAAATTTTCTGTTAATGGATTTGAAAATATTTACAGATATAAAAAAGTAGTTTACGAGTATAAATTTCTAATTAAACTTGAAAATTATAAGTTATACTTTTTTTCTATTACTCTATTAAAAGAATAAATGTATATATATAAATATATATATAAAATATATATATTTAAATATATATATATATATATATATAATTATTTATTTATTATTATTTTTATTACTATTTATTATTCAAACTTAAAATAAAAGCTATAGATTTTTTAATAGTATCTTTTTCTGCTTAATTTAAATATGCTTAATTAAATTATAATGTAAAATCAGCTGCTGGATATCTATTTTATGTTTGAAATTCAAAAGTTTTCAATTCACTCCATTTTCCACCCCTATTGACTGCATAAGCATAAACTGCATATATTACTTAAGCCTCCAAGTTATTAATTTTTACTATTCCCTTATTAGTTTTTCCTATAATTGCACTACCATAGACTGATCTAGTGGTTTCTACAGGCGGCTTATTTTAATAAAGTACATCTTCAATTTTTGGAACATTAGTTCCTTTTAAAGCTAACATGAAAAAAACTTAAGAAACTTCCGATGTTCCTATATTTAGATCTATTTTTGTCTAGCTAGTTTATGTATTGATTAAATCTGTTATTAAAGGCATTTCTGTTATTTCGTTTATTATTATAAAATCTAAAGTTGTCCTACTTAGTATATATACATCTTTATTTTTTCCTTATAAATTTAGGTTAATTTTTCCTTTTTCAATAATACTGTTTTAAGTGCAATTTAAATAAAAATACAAACCAGATATTTTATTAGTAAGTGTTAATTTATAAGTTGATAAACTAATTCCACTATATGTTTCTGCAAAACTTAATTATATTTCAACTTATTCATTTGGAGCGTAATCTGTTTAGACTAAATTGGGCAAAGACCAGCCGTTTTTGGGGATTTCTTATAATGTATTTATATCTATACGTATATTTTTATTAGATGTAATCTATTTATGTATATAATTGATATATATTATAAAATTTTAATTATTTACTTAAATTTATGTTTTTTTTATTAATGTATATAATAATGGTTCCGACTTTTAGTCTTTATTTGTTTCAACTTATATTTACCAATATATATAATATATTCCTATTTTTTTGTTATATTTAATTTATTATTAATAAATATATATTATAAACCTCCATTATAATTTTCTGCAACCGTAACTTAGAATTATGCATATAAATCGCCTACATTAAGTGATATTTTTTCAGGTATAATATCAATTCCTATTTATGAAAATGTAGCTGTTAGTGTTAAATTCTAAGCACAGGGATATTCCACTCCAACCTTAATAGGTTTACTTACAGTTCCTCTTTCTAATATAATAGTTTAATCTTCATTTACAGTAATAATTGGCCCTGGTACTGTAAAAGAAAGGTTCGTAGGATCTAAATTAAGGAAAGTTTTCTATATAATTTTTTAAATTGTCCCATCGAAAGTTTTAATTACTATACTGTCTATATATCCTTCTTCTATTGGATTTGGAACATTTTAAACAACTAATTTAATTTCTTGGCCTTCAATTGCATCTTTTCCCCATACCTAGACTTCGTTTTCCTTAAACTAGCATTTAATATCAGCTGAAAGTATTTTATCAGAACTACAAGCTCCATTTAAATTTTATAAAATGTCATATTATTGGGGAAACTAGACTTTAATTTCTCCTTTATTACTTTAATAAGATGGTAATTTATCATTACCGGTTCCTATATAGAAGAGCATTTCATAATCCGCGTTTACTCTAATATATTAGTTCGAAGATTTCATTTATTTCATATTTAACCAAGTAGGGGCCTAGAGTGTGTTTTGGGCAGGAATATCCGATTTAAAATCGATAAAAAAATCATCGTAAATATTATAAGTTCCGACTTTAAAAAATCCCAAAACTGCAGGAGGAGGAATCAAATTTGGGTTTATAATTCCCGAAATTGCTAATATTATATGATTTGAAGGGGATGGGGTATATTTGGTAATTCCAAAAAGAGTTATTATCCTTTATTTTATTGAACAGCCTATTTCTTTATTAAGACCTTGTATTGATGTACATTTTAGGGTTTCTCGGCCGAGATTTTGGTCATAGTTTTGAGGGAATTCTATATAGATTAAGCTTTTAGAGGTTAGGGCAGTGGTGGGAAGAATGTTGAAAGTATAAGTGGACTTTTCAGCCTCATTTTTAGGGATAAAAGATTATATGGAACATGTTAGTCTGTTTGTGGGGTTTTTGATGACAATTGTACGATTTATTGTTGAGGAAGAGTCTGTGTCGTTAATTATAGTGCCGTCATAGATAATTTTAATTGAAAAAGGTTAAGTAGTCTTAGGTAAAAGGGGATTTTAAATATTTTTAATTGAAAAATAAATAACTCCGGAATCATATTAAGTGTCTGTTATAATTTAATATGTATCAGCATTTTTTAAAATACAACTTTCCATAGTGGAGAGACCACCAGAAAGAGAACATATAGGAGGATTAGGTAGAATAGGGTAATCTGACGAAGGAAATTAAACTTCTATAATAGTTTTTTTAAGAAAAGATTAAGAAGGGATAAAGGAAATAGTATAAATAGATTTTTCTATTGCATTTCTAGGAAAAGCATTAATCCCTTAATATATTATTATATCAGGAGAAAAAGGATCACCGAACGTAAAAGCACCATCTATAGGATCACTTTCCCCTATTAATAAAATATAATATATATATATATTAGAATGTATATATATATATATATATATATATATATATATATATATATATATTTTAATTTTTTATATTTATCTTACATTTATTTATTATTTTATTATATACAGTTTATGTTTCATTTTCTATAAATGAATCTACATAAGTTTAAATTTTCCAATTCAGAGAAGTTGTAGTTGGGTTTTAATTAGGATTTTTGATGCCTTCACAAATTATTTTAAAAGGGGCGTATTTAGGGTGAAAAGCTATATTAGTGAATTCTACTGTGTATGAGTTATAGAAATTATATTTAATCTAAGTTTTATCAAAAGGTTTTAATTAAGGAATTGAAAAAATAGGTTTTGGAATACTTGATGTTAGTTTATAATTAGAATCGAAAGTTAATAAAAGACGGAAATTATCAGGATGATCTACTGAAGGCGTGCATATAATTTCGAAATAAACTCCAGGCTAGTTCGGGGCTTTGAAAGGGACGAGAATTTCCACTTTTACAAATTCTGCGTATGAAGGGGAAAGGGGTTGGTTTCCAACTGAAACTTAAGATATATTAGATGATTGAACTTTCGATGAGTCTACTGGTAGATATTTATATATAATTTTATCGAATTTTAAATAATATCGAGGCCATATTAAATTTTTTAGGATTACTACTAGATTCCCAGTTAGATTGTTTGTGGTTTTGTCTACATTTATAATTTCTAAAAGTAGCCAATTTAAATCATTATAAAATACTGCTTTTTATATATAAGTGCCTGTTTAAATATATGGATTAGTAATTGAATTAATATTTTAAGCGGCTATTTCTACTGTAATGCTTTCATTTTCTGGAAAAAAACCTAAATCAACTATATTAGTAAGTTAAATGATAAATTTGTCTCCAACTTCTAATACTAGAGTTAAATCTAGGAAGAAAATTAAAGCAAACCATTCTTATTATATAGGTTTTTAAGGATAGAATTTAATATAGTCTTTATTACTTAAACTAGGAGGGCTTGAGGCTGCCATAGTCTTATATTTAACAGTCAAGAGATCTGAAATATTAATTATTTTTTCCCTTCTGTTTGTTTTAGTTTTTAATAGTACTCGTATAGTCCCATCATCTGATATAGCGGGTGATGCAGATGGTCTAGGATTTAAAATATTCACTAAATGGAATTTTATTAATGAGTTTATACCTATTTCTTTGAAATTTTACATTCTTACTATCTTCCGTTTTGTTGCAGATATTGTACCATAACTAGGATTTATATCATAGTCTTCTAATAAAACACAGTTTATTTACTAGTTTATAAGGGGGAAAATACCCTCTATGTTTTTACAAGGAAAACTATCGCCTACTTTATATACTGAAACGTCCGGAAAATTATCATAATTATCAACAAATACCACATCAATATACCCTTAAGGGTCTGTGGGTTTTAATTTAGGTTTACCTTCGATTAATTTCAATGATTAGGTCTTTAATTCAATTTCAATTATACCACTTCGAATTGACACTAAATCTGGGTTGTTAAAATTCATATATTAAAGAGTTTTTATTCTTTAAATAGGTTCTGGATATATGATTACTACTAAACTAAAACTTTAAACGTAAGTAAAACCATCTGGTTAAAATATTGCGACATCAATTAAAAATACACCCTCGTAAATCGGAGAGTCTATGAATGTATTTGCTCCAAATTATAATTGCATTGATGCTAAGACGCCATTAGAAAGTAAGTTGTTCGCTTTTTAATAATAATATATTATTTGATCTTACTTTTTACATCGGAAAGATTCAAAAGAAACTCCTTGTTATTAAATGGAGCAATATGATGCTTTATATATATATTAATATATATATATATATATATATATATATATATATTTGTATATATATATATTTTTATTTTTATATTTTATATATATAATAAAAAATTACGTAGTATTATTGTTTTTATTGTAAATTATTCAGGAAATGTTAATTGATATATTGTCGAACCTATCAATAGAGCTGAAGGGGTGAAATTATAAGAAAACTTTATTTATGAATTCGCTTAATAATATCTTTCTGGCCCCATATTATTAGATAATATTTATAAATTTGATGAGTTTATATCTAATACAGTTGTAAAAGCTTAAGTAGAATCCATATCTATGATTACATTTTTGGAAGAATCCGTAAATGTGGATATTACAATAGGATTTGTTTTTCCTTATAAATCAGGTAGTTATATTCTTAAAAAAAAGGCTATTTCTGTAGGAATAAGACATTCTGCATAATTTGATAATTATATAGTATCACCGCTTGAACTGAAATCTTCTAAAATAGAATTATTACTTGATGTATCATCTTCTAGCCCATAAAGAATTTAAAAAGAGGATTTTTAATCAACATCTAAATATATATATATATATATATATATATATATATATATATATATAATTGTAAAATTATACCTTTTTAAAAAAAAAAATTGGGAGAAGGAAATTTTATTTATAATAAAGATCCTTTAGGTAATGGATTTTTGGGCAGTATTTTGAGATAATAATCAATGATTTTTCCTTTAGCCTCAACTGCATTATTTAGTTTTTTATAAAATCTCACATATTGCATTTTTCCCGTTGTAATTTAAAATCCATTTATAGGATTACTCCATCCATAAACCACTTTTGTACCGATACGAAACACTACAATTCTAAATCTTTCATTCTAATACGCATCATTTGTAAAAAGAGAAATTTTTGGATTAGTCATCGAAACACTAATACCAACATCTGACCCTGCTTTCAAATCTGCAAGAAGTCCTGTGATTTAAATTATCTATTTTCCCTTGACTTTCTCGCATTATATCTAAGCTTTAATATTTATGCCATTAATAGGGTAGGTAGAGCATGAAGGGTTATCAGAAATTTCAAAATCGTAAGGAGAATCTGAACTAAGGTAGTTACCTGCTCGAGAAGGGATCCATAACTCTATGTATGAGCTCATGGGGATATCTTAATCTGTTTTAAACGCGAAATTGTATTTAGTCGATTCTCCTGCGGCCTATGTTCCAGAGGAATCCACTTTTACAGTTGTTGAAATTAAAGTATTTATATCCCCAGCTATTCCAAGTTCTCCAAAAATAAGGTTTTCATCAAACAAATTCACTCCTTTGTATGTTCGGACATAAAAACTACCTGTACCGCCTGTTATGGAGGGGTTTAATACTTAATATATGGAAACTTAAATTTCTATATTGCCTAATATTTCTTCAGAAAATTCAAAGGTTACTGTATTATCAGTTATTGTGCAGGGGCGGTCGCAAATATTTGATAATGCTACTATTCCTAAACCCGGATTATATTAGGAAGGAAATTATATTTGTAAAATACCGCCAGATGGAACGGTTGTTTCGGGAATAAATTAAAATGTGTAGTCAGCATTATTATTTTTATTTGCTATAGTATTTTGGATTGGAATTTTTCCTTGTTTTATGGTGCCTTATATGTTTTTTTTTTATATTATTATTTATTAATATTATATTATTTATATTGTGTACCTTAAAAGGAGTATTTAAATAATAATGTTTGTATTAATAATAAATATTTATATATAAAAATCATTAAATAATAAGATAAAAAAAGGCTAGTTATTTATTATCTTTATAGGTATTTAAGTATTATATTATCTACAAAGGATTTATAATTTAAAAAATAAAAAAAAAAAAATTGGTTTATAAAAAAATATAAATAATTAATAATTAAATATTTATTTAATATAAAATATATAAGATATATATATATATATATATATAATATTTCATTAATAAGAATATTTTATAAATAATATAAATATTTTATTTAAAAAACAAAATATTAATTATATTAAATAATTTATAAATATAAAATATATTTAATAATATTATTAGTAAACAATTTAATATATTAATTTATATTTAATTATTATTAATTTAATAAAAAATTTTAGAAAATATATTTTTAATGAAAATTTTTTAATAATGCTAAAAAATAAAAAATGAAAAAAAAAAATCATCAGTCTTTAAATTTTTGAATAATAAAAAAAACAAAGAAAAAGGAAATATAAAAAAAATTAAATTTAAATTATATTAATAAAAAATTTAAATGTAAAAATATAATAAAAATAAAAATATAAATATAAAAAAATATATATATAATTATAAATGTAAATATATATACATTTTATATATTTATATATTTATATTTTTATATATTTATATGTTTATATTAGATTATATAACTATATTAAATATTTTATTTTTACATTTATATATATAAAAAAAAAAATTATTTTTAATTATTTTAAATTAATATTTAATATATTTTTTTACTTTAATAATTAATATTTTTTTCTTTTAATTTGATTTATATTTACTATAATATAATTTAAATAATTATAATTTATATTTTTTAAAATATTTAGCAATATTTAATTTTTTTTTTAATTATTTTAATTTATTATTATATATATAATTTTTTTTTATATATTCTTATATCTTTCTATATAAATATTTTCTATTTATCATTTTTAATTTTTATTTTTTGATTCTTTTGTTTTCTACAAATTTTAAAAAATATTAATCTTTTTTTATTCATTTAAAGATTAAAAACATTATTTTTAGATTTTTTTATATAAATTCTTATTAATCTATTTATTACAAAAATTTAATAAATATTAATTTTACTTTAATCTTTTAATAGTATTTACTTGTTTTATAATAAGTTATAACATATTATTATAAGTTTTTGCCTTATAATTAACTAAATTAATTTTATTCAATTTATTTTACCAATTTTAAAATATTATTTTTGTTAATATATATAAATATTTTTTTAAATTTTTATTTAATTTTTACTAAACATATATTTTTTCACATATTCAGCAAGTAAAAATAAGTAGTAAAAAAAAAAAAAGGGCAATTATTTATTAATATTGAGTTTTACATATTCAAAAAAAAAGATAAAATATTGTATATAAAATTTCTACGAAATGTTCAAAATCATTATATATGTCTAATAAGTTTATTTAGGTTATAAATTACTGATTTTATTACAGAAAATTTTCAGCATAATTTATTTATTAAATTTTTAATATTATAAATTATTATGGATTTATAATAAACTAAATGGATAGTTATTAAATTCATTATTAATTTATTATTTAATTCAAATTATATATAGGACACTTTAAATTATTTATTGAGTAATAATTCTAATTGAAATTTAAAGTTTTATATTTAAAATTATATTAATTATAATTTTTGTCAATATATTGATGTTTCTTTAATTTTTTATTATTATGTTTATTTCATTTTTTTGTTAATTTTATATTGAAGTTTGTTATATATAATTATTATTGATTTTAATATTTTACTTTTTTTTTTAAAAAAAAATAATTTTTTATAATTAATTATATAAAATAAATTAATTGAGTATTTTTTTATAAATAAATTATTGTTATTATTTATAATTTATTATGGTATTTTTTAAAACATATTTATGATTTTATTATATTTTTTATTATTTTTTTTTTTAATATAATATTATTTTGTATAAATTATTATTTTCTTATTTTAGTTTAAAAATAAAACTGTTTAAAATAAATATAGATAAATTATTTATTTTTTAAAGAAAATTAGCATATTTTTATATAATATAAACTATGATCATTAATAATATATATATTTGATATATATATATATAAAGATAATAATATATATATAAAATTTATAAAATTAAAAGCATAACTAAAATATAAAAAAATCAATAAATTTAAAAAGCTTTTAGAAACTAAAATTAAAATTCAGATTATTAATTAATATTAATAATTAATAAAATAAAAATTAAAAAAAAAAAACAAAAATTATACATAAAAAAAAAGCAAAAAATAAAAAATTTAAATTAAATTAAATTTATAACCATTGCTTTCTTTTTTAATAAACAGAGCCATCCCTAACTGTAATATAATAATAAAACCCATTAACTCCAAAATAAAAACAAATAATGACATCTTTAAAAACTTAAGATCGAAAAACATATTTAACGAGCAAATTATACTAAAAAGGATTTTCTATTACTAATGTATAACCTTTAAAATTACAAGAATTCGAATAAAACATGTCTGAAATCCAAGAAATTAACAGTAATAAAAAATACCTAACAAATTCTCCTTTAAAAAACTAACCAAGTTCAAGTGCTATAAAATAAAATAATGTGAACGATTCAATGTAAAATTCTTAAATTTTATCTCAATAGTAAAACTAGAATGATTCTGATAATAATTCTAAATAAATATTATCTTAATTATAATAACCTGTTAAATAATCATCTAATGTTAGGACTTTTATCAGAGTACGTCCTTTAAATAAAATGGAAATAGAATTTAATTAAAATGGATGTGGTAATGAAAACTTAAGGTTCCCAGATTTAAAATCAGTATAAGTTATGCCAGAAAAAACTATCTTTACACTCGATAAAGTATATCCACCGGCTTCTTAATAAGTAAAAAAAATAAAAAAAAAAGTGTAAATAAATAAAAATATGAAAATAAACTAAATAATATATATATTTATATATGTATATATATATATATATATATATATATATATATATATATATATATATATATATATTTATATATTAATAATAAACACAAAAGTCTGAAATATATGAAGATGTAGGAAGAGAAATGGTCAATGATGTCCTATTAGGTTATAATGGTACTATTTTTGCCTATGGAGCTACTGGCTCTGGTAAGACACACACAATGTTCGGAAATGTAAACGATTAATAATAAAAGGGAATAATTCCTCGAGTAAGTAATTAAATTTTTTAATATGTAAATTAAAGTACTGATATTGAATTTTCAATTACTTGTAGTATGTTAGAAATATATAAAGAGTAATTATTTGATTTACTTAATACGAATAAATAGAATTTGAAAATAAAAGAAAATGCAAAAGAAGGTGGTTTATATGTACAAGGACTTACCAATATAACTGTAGAAAGTGAATAAGATATACTAGATGCCATAAATTTAGGATATTCAAGCAAATAGACTCGAGAAACACGAATGAATGAGTATTCTTCCCGATCTCATACTATTTTTACAATAAATGTAAACCAAAAATGCCCTAATGGGTAATTAAAAACCGGAAAAATGAACCTAGTAGACTTAGCTGGGTGTGAGAAAATCGCCAAAACACAAGCCTGGGGTGAAATGTTAGAAGAAGCAAAAAAAATAAACCTTTCATTGTCATGTTTAGGGAATGTTATTCATGCTTTAACTTCCGGAGCTGACCATATACCTTATAGAGATTCTAAACTAACTCGAATATTATAAGAGAGTCTAGGAGGAAACTTTAAAACATCACTTATAGCCGCTATATCTCCACATTCTAGTCAACATGAGGAATAAATAAGTACTCTGAAATTCGCTACAAGGGCTAAAACTATAAAAAATAATGTCAAGATAAACATTATATTGTCTAATGAATAAATGAAGGTGCTTATTGAATAACTTAAAGGAGAATTAGCTAAAAGTAAAGAATAGAATGATAAATGGAAAAAAATGGTGCAGAAATTAAAGGAGGAAATAAAAAATAATAACAATGGAGGATCTTTTATTAAAAATCTAGAAGATATTATCAATAATAATGATAGTGAAGGTAGTAATACGGAATAAAATAATAGTATTAATAATGATAATGGAGATGAATCGGATCTAGATGAAAGCTTTGTAGATTAATAAGGAGGAAATAATTAACCAAGTATTTTTAGTGGTAAAAGATAATAGGATAATGGGGGTAATTAATAGAATGCTTTTTTAAATAGTAGTTAAAAGGATAATAATAATACAGGATAATATAGAGGTACAAGTTCTGATTTTAGAAAAAGATATTAAGAAAAGAATAAATTATGTAGAAATTTATAGAAGGAAATTATTATTTTAAAAAAAGAATTAAATGAACAAGAAAAAAAAATGATGGATATTAGATATTAGAAATAATAAATTGAATAATCTTATACTGAATAAAAATCTAAAAATGAATATAATCTGTTTTAAACTGAAGTTTTATAAAAATAAGTAACTTCTCTTATAGAAACTTTATGTAAATATGAAAAGTAAATTAGTAAAATGATTTAAGAAAAAACTACAAATAGTTAAATAAAAAAACAAAATTATTATTTATAAAATTGTTTAAAATAAATAAAGGTAAACTAAATATAGAAGATTATTTAAAAAAAAAATTTAATTTCTAAGAAATATCTTATTCAGAATATTTCAAAAATTCAACAAGTTTAACACTTGATGTAAATAATTATAAAATAAATCTATATATATATATAAATAATATATATATAAAAAAATATATATATATATATTTATATATATATATATTTATTTATATTTTAAATTTTTTATTTTATATTTTTAAATATATAAGAATTATGTTTTATAATGGTCAGATTAATAGAAAAAAATTTAACAATTAGGAGTAGATTTTAACAATTTATTTGATGAAAATTAAGAACAAGAGGGAAATCAAAATTAAGGAAAAAAACACACATTTACTAAAATGGAAACATTGTTAAAATAAACAAAAGGAAATATTAATAATTCGTTAAATTAAAAATAAATGTTAGAAAAAATAACTCTTTTTCCTTCTAAATTAGATAAATTTCATCAAAAGCATCACATTTCGAGAGATTTAATGATTATTCTATTAAAAAAAGAATTATTTAAGTAAATACATATCTTTTTTTTTATTTAATATATACATATATATATATTATAGTTCCCATATTATTAATTAAACACTTTCGAGAACTATTTCAACTTTAGAATGGAAATAAATAATAGAATATGGAAAAGAAACACTTCTTATAGAATTAAATAAAGTACAAAAAACACACATTGATAATTTAGAAATAGTAATAAATGAAGCAAGTGCTAATTATAAATTATTAAGAAGAAAAATCGAATAAATCGAGTTAGAATAACATATATAAAACGATTAGAAATCATAAGAGGTATAAGATAAAAAGGGAAACATAGGCAAAGACAATTAAACATTATAATAATTAATTAAAAAAAAAGTATAGAAAGATAAAGTATTAAAGGTAGTTTTTTAGGCATTTAATATATGGACTTAAATTAAACAGATAATAATAGTTAAGATAAAACTTAAATTTTAAAAGAACTTAAATAATGTATTAATTTAAAATAATAAAAAAATTAATTTTTTTAAAAAGGTGAAGAAATTATTTAAAAATCTGTTCTACCATAAACATATGATAAATCAATAGAAGAATTAAAAGAAAGAAATTTATTATTAAAAAGGGTATTTGAAGAAATAAAAGAGAACTTTTATAGTGGAGTAAACTAATAATTAATTGAATAAATTTTAAAAGAAAAGGAAAGACTAGAAGGTAAAGTTAATAGTATATAAGATGAACTTAAAATGGAAATTGAAAAATCAAAATATTATTCGGAAGTAAATATATTATTTTAATAAAAATAATGTAAATGATTTATAAATATATATATGTATAGGCTATAAAATAAGAAAAAAATAATACATTGTTATAATAAGAATAATCAAGATAATTAGAATAATATTTATTAAATAAAATGAAAGAAGAAACTTAATTTATAGAAAAAAATTAAAAAATTATTGTAGAATAACATGAAAATGAAATGTAAAAATACTAATAGGCGTTTTAAAAATAAACTGAAAAATTAAATTAACTTAATAAATAAACAATTGAAACATTAAATGAAGTTTTAAATAAAAACAATCATGAAGAAAATAATAAAATTTTGTTATAATAATTATAAAGCGAATTGTAAAAATATGAATAAGAATAATATATTAGTAATAATGCAAATAATAATACTAATAATAATACTGTAAATAATACAAATAATAATTCTAATAATATTACTAATAATAATAATAATTCTAATATAAATAATAATATAAATAATAATCATAATAATACTAATAATCATAATATAAATAATAATAATAATAATAATAATATTAATAATTATAATAATAATAATAATAATTATAATAATTATATTAATAATAATATCAATGATTCTGTCGATAAACCTTAAAATTTATCTATAAAAAATATTTTCAAAACTTAAATTAATGCTGCTATGTATAAAACATTTGAAAATAACGATTAATTAGTTACCCCTAAAAGCAATTTTTAAAAAAGATTTAGTAAAGAAGTATTAGATAATTAAGGTATTTTTTTACTTAATAATTAAAGTCCTGTTAAAGAATCAAAAACATTTTAGAAAGATAATTATTAATATTATACTCGAAAGTAATAAAACAATTTTAATAATAATATTAAAAATAGTGTACATCATAATAGGATATAAAGTCTTTCAGGAATTTCTTAATTTAAAAAATATTGATTAAATTATATATATTTTATTTTTAATAATATTGTGTTTTAGTATATATATCAATTTATATTATAAATACTTTTATTAAATAAAATACATTTAAATATTAAATAAGAATTTATATATATTGTAATCGTTTATTTCCTTTTTTTTATATATATATTAAAATAAATTCGTTTATATATTAAAATTATAAAATAACAAACTAATTTTTTTTAAAAAAAAAAAATAACATATTATAACTTAATATGATAAATAACGAAAACCATTTAAAGAAATATTTATAAGATTTATAAAACCAAAACACATTAAAATAACTATAATTAAATAATTTTATATAGAAAAGAATTAATATAATAAATAATATAAAATTATATAAGAATGTAGAATTATATAAAAATACTTAGTAAGAAAAAACAAGAAAAAATTGTGAAAAGAAAATAGAATTATTAAACGAGGAATATAATTATTAAAATACTTTAATTTTTATGAAAAATAGATATTATAAAGAAATCTAAAATTTAAAAAATTAATGCAATTTATTAAAAAATTTAGATCAAATTGCTATAAGTAAAGAAAATTAAATAGAATAAATAAAAAATAAACAAGAAATTATATTAAGTACGCATTTAAAAGAATAATAATAATAAAAATATTAAATTAAAGAAACTCAACTAAAAATAAATGAAAAATAACAAATAATTTAATAGAATGATTTATTTTAAAACCAAAATTATCGATATTTAAAAGAAATCTAATTAATTAAATAAAAAATATCAAAAAGTTAATATATTATTAATAAATAAAATGAATAACTAAATCAATTGGAATAATAAAATAATTATTTTGTCTAAAAAATAGACGAATAGTTTAAGTTTATTTATTAAATAGAGGCTATATTGTTATTATTTGAATTAATTTTTAAAAATAATATAGATAAAAATATTTATAATATAATTTTAGAATTTTATAATAATGGTATATAAGGAAATAAAACAAATATTTTTTAAAAAATGAATGATAAATAAATACCTTTTTAATTTATTTTATCAAAGTTATTAAATAAGCTAGAAAAAAAAACGAAAAAAATAATATTTTAGAATTAACTTAAGAAATAAAAAAATATTAAAGAAATAGGTCAAAAACAGAAAATAAAGAATAAAATTCTAATAATAAATTATATTTAGAAAATTCAAATTGTAATAAAGAAGAAAAACAAATTGAATATATATTTATAAAAAAATAAGAAAAGAAATTAAATAAAATTTA